CGCGCCGGCCTTGCATGCATACATATACACATACATACATATATACTCACATTTATTCACATGCACTCATCATAAACACTTATACACAGATACAAATGTCTTTGGACTTATTAACTGTATTTATTAACTGATTAGGAAGGAATGGAATAGGTTACTCTTAAAAATATAGATTGAATGGAGAGTTTTTAGGTCATAGGTAAGGTTATTCCAAGATTTTATACTTTGGTTTTTTGTGGACTTATATCATTAAGTAAAACAACGATATTTTAAGACTGCAAGATTCAGATTATCAATTGATTGAAGAAAGTATTGATTATCACCATTTTTGGGAAGAAATTTTTGAAGGTAAGAGGAAGGTTTTTGTGTTAAAACTATCGACTAAATGTCTCTGCGTGCAAATTGACGCTGACGTATTATATAAAACTGAAATAATTGCCAGTTGAATACCGTGAGCAAAGCATTGCTTTTGATTAACCTGTAATAGTTTTGCAATTTTTTTATTACGCTGGCTCCATCTGTCATCATGCGCACAATAGGGGAGAGTGGGGAGAAGAGAGACTCAAAATTTGTTTTTCAGGGTAATTGCAATATTTTTTTATTTGGTATATAAACTGAACTAAACAATTTTCAACAAATAAAGCAGTATTTGTAGCTCCAATTTCACCCCCTAATTTTTGATAGCTTGTTTTAATAAAGTATGTACTTTTTTAGTTTTAGAGGAACCCTGCTATTAGGATTAAGTGGGAAAAGTGTGTGTGAAGTGGGAAAAGTGTGCGGGAGTAGCGGGACATTGGGGGGGGGGGAATATATAAAAATAACTACAAAACTATTTAAATATTAATTTGAGCAAATTTTGATTTTAATGTTAAGTTTTATTTAAATAGAACAAAATAGTCAATGCATCAATGCATTTTTCTATCAAATTAAGATTCCATATTAAGAATTAATTTTTTTTTGTTAAAAAAAGAAAAAGTTACACATTTAATGTGCCAAAGTTCATTTGGCAAATGATTCCAGTTTTTGTTGTTGCTCCAGGAAGCGTTTGAAGCAGGACTGCTTTTATATCATTAATATTTATTTATTTATTATTTTTTTTTTTAGTTTGATTTTAGGTGCCCCAAGAAGTCCTTACGGTCTTATCACAGAGCACCGCGGAAGAGCATTTAATAGGAAGTTCACGCCTCCTTCCCAACCGATGTCGCAAAACTTGCCCAGAGGTGGGGTTTGAACCACGGATCTTACGTTTCTGAGGCAAGTGTGCTACCACTGCGCCACTACTAATGTCATTAATTCTAGCTTTAACAAATTTAGAAGTTTCCTTTTTCTGGAATTTTAGGAAGCTGACCTCTAGCAGGAATATCATTTGTTATTTTATTGACGTCTATATCAAGGTCACTGCTTGATTTGCGTAATATGTTTTTCTTTACTTTTTTTATTTTTTTTTATATTTGATTTTGGAAGGACAATTTTTTTATCCTTTTTTTTTTACATTTTTTTTTTTGTTTAATATTTCTTATTCTTAAAATCTCTGGTGTTGCTATGGCTATCATATACTTTCTCATTTTACGTCCACGTCTTACAATCTTAAAAGAAGGTGTCTGCAAAGTTTATATTTAACATTTTTAAATGTAACATAAAAAGCTTATTTTCATCAACTGCATTATAAAGTTTTTATATTTAAATTCATAGGTTTTAAATTTATAATTTTTATAAAGTTTATGTGTTAATTATAGAATTTAAAGAAAAACCTGAACTAAGAATATTAAGTTTAAATTACCTTTGGCTAACCTCATGCAATCTCAGGAGAAAACACAGTGGAGTTTTCTTTTACTCCTTCATGTTGCACACCCAAACTTGAGATTTCTGAAAGAATGAAAAAAAGAAACACTTGTATTTGATTTTTCGCATGAGCCTGTCATATGTGAAGTGTGTGGTAACAAAGTCATCATACAAACATTTTTCTTTTGCATACTAAAGTGACTGTAGCGAAAGGTGGCTTTCATGATTGTCCATAATCAATAAAACTTTGTGATTGCTGTTGGGCGGACAAACTTAACAAAATGCTTTAAGACCTCTATAAATAATTCAGCATTCACCCATCTAGATTGATTGGCTAATCAAATAGAACTTTCTGGTACTCCTCTCATTAGTTGGTTTCTAAACTAGTTTTTGGGAAAAACAATAACAAGAGATATTGCTGCACCAGCTGCAAAGACAATGCAACACACTGTTACTAGTGCACCTCTTTCTCTAGATGTTATTTACCCGACTTGCTTTGTTCCCTTTGATGAAATGACACGAGGAGTTTTTTGAACAGTAATAAAACCTACCTCATCAAGATTAATAACTTTAAACTATGTTGCTTTAGAATCTGGAATTCTGCTTAAGACTCTGGTACTTTCTTGTAATTTGTTAAAGAAAATACTAATAGTATTGTAATTGAATGCAGATGCTCTAGCAAGTAAAGTTGCTTCTGGTTTTCTAGCTGGTAGTTTTTTTCTTAAAATCTTATTAACCAATCTCGACCAGTCTTTTTTAGCTTTATCCAACGCAAGGCACATTTTTTTTTGCTTGCTTAAGTCATTTCAAAGGCTTAAGCAAGCAAAAATAATACTTACAATAATTCTTACTTGAATTATTGTAAGGTTATATAGCATATATGAACAATTCTTTAGATAAGATGCTCATCGTTTTTTCATGGGCAACAGAGAAAATCATAAAATGTTGATAATTTGATTCACTTCAATTGATATTTATTATAAAAGTGAAAATTGATAATTTGATTGAAGATAAGCATCTGGATATTGACGCTATTTTATACACATATGAAATGCAAACTTAAAAATGCCAGATAAGTATGATGCTTTTCTAAGGCTTATCCCATTTTTCACAATGCCCAAAGCAACTTCCAAAAATGTTTTCTGAAGCATGTGTAGTTTAACTTTTTCTTTTATAAACTGTAGACATATAAAAAAATATTTCTTTGTAATGGTATTAAGTTTACTGTTATTACTACATCTTATTTCAGACTATAAATGAAATTATGAATTTATTTAAAATTAAAAAAACTTGTATGGTTTTGCTTTCCAAATGCTTTTAAATTATTGATGTAAGAAGAAATCTCAACTTGCTCCAAACAACAATGATAAATCAAATCAAATCTATCTTCAATAAAGGTCTCTCTTTCCAAATTTTGTTTTAAATTCAAAGTATAAGAACTTAAACTAAAATCAAAACCGCTTAAACGTATCAATATTTTTGTTTTGAAACTATTAAGTCAAAATGTTTTAGAACTTTCCGCAATAAAATTACGCAAAACTGTTGAGCAGAAGTGGAACAGTGACTTTCTTTTCTGTTCTTTTTTCATGTCTACTCTACATAGGGACTTCAACTCTATGTAGGGTAAACATGAAAAAACTAAAGTTACAGCCACGCAATTAAATATAAAATAAAAATTTAAGTACTAAATGTTGCATTTCCATATAAAAGAGACAAAAGGTGCAACAACAGTAAAAAACAAGTACATACATGAGTTACTAGGCTGTCAGCAAAAAAACTTTTTAGAGATATTTTCAAAAAAAAAAAAAACGGTTTCTACCACAAGCAGGAAGGCAAAATGGTGTCTAATAAAAAATGTACATAAAATCTATGTTTACATTTTTCTTTAAGAAAAATTAAACACTTTTCAGCTGGCGTTATCCCTAGAATTCTAACTAAATCTAAACTCCAAAAATTATCTATATCGAAATACCCGTTATTTGAATATCAAATTACATTGATATTCAAATAACGGGTATTTCGCTAATCAAAAGATATTGAAAACTTAGTTTCATATTCGATGTAAAATACAAACTAATTTTACTTTTTTTAATCTGTGGTTCTTCTTCCGACATCGGAGAACACGCTAGTTCTGCTTTTAAATTTATTTTATGTAACTGAAAAGATGCGTATAAAGAGTTTTTATTGATCCGCCAGTGTAATTTTCAATATTTTTTTGCAATGGCTTAGTTAATTGATAAACGCCGGTACTAATCGTAATTTTGCAATTTCTAAATTCCGGGATATTTTAAAATAATTTCGAGAATTCGGGGTTATAAAATTAGACAGGATCCCGGGATTTCGGGATACCGTGAAGGTTAAACCCTCCCAACTGACATTTTAAACAACGTGTTATATCTTAAAAGATATAACACGTTGAAGTCTTTCAAACTGTTATATTGAAGTCTTTCAAACGTGTTATATCTTAAAAGATATAACAGTTTGAAGTCTTTCAAACTGTTAACTGTTGATACAAGGTGTTTATTGATAATATGTTGAGATTGATGACATCAGTCTTTAAATTTAATTATCTAGTATCATTTTAGCTATAGATTTGATTTTGACTGAAAATTTACTAAATGAATTAAACGTCGATCCTTCACAGGATCTAACTGCAAGTATCCTTCATAGGATCTAATAATGAAGAAACATGATTTAAAAATATATCTAGACTTTGAAACATAATTTGAACACTAGAAAAAAAAAACAATTTTGCAAATAAAAAGACTTTTTAAACTAAATCTTTCTTAATAAAAAAAGTTTTATTTTAAAAAGTTTGAAAAAGGTACTCAACCTCCATTTGAGCTCAAACGTTTTTGTTTGATTGAATTTTGAATTTTTGATTGAAAAATGAATATGGTTTGAATGCTCTTGATTATTCATCGTTTTTTATAGTTACAATGACGTAATTGTTTATTCCTGCATTTTTTAATTTTTTATTTTAAAAAAATCTTTGAAACATTTTCAAATAAAATAAGAAATATTTCGATGCAATCAATTCTTCTTTAATTTTTTAATATTTTCAGTTCGAAATCTACGAAACAATTTTTTCTTATCTAACAACTTTCTTAAACAACTCCTAAATTTGAACGCTTTAAAATCAATTGAGGGTTGCAGCGTTTCAAATGCAAAAAATGAATTATTCAGGAAAATTTATTTTTGTATGAGTTTTTAAAATTTTTTAAACATGGATGCTTAAGGACAGATCACTTTTATATATCTGTTTAATATGTTTATATTATTCTTTCAATTTAATGATATAAAGTAAACTAAATGCACACAAATTTAACTCAAGAATAAAAAGATAATATTTAACAGAACGTTTTCAAAAAAATTATGAACAATTAAAAGTAAACACAGTGAACTAAGTCTATACAAAGAAAGCTACGCAAAAAGCATGATGCCATTTTGCAACTTTTATTTCGTTAGCATCTTTTTCATTTTATTTTTTACATTTATGACTTTTATCGCATATATAAAATACAGCGGAAATATAGATAAAATACTATGGATAGAGAATAGCCAGGTAGGCTTGTCAGGTTTTTTTCTCTTTCTGACAAGCTAAAATCTTTATTTAACTTTTTTTTATTTATAATAATACTTTTTACCATACTTTAATAATTGAGCTTATTTTAAGTGTGCTTTACTGAATATTTTTTATAGACTCTAAAGTTGAAAGAGTTTCATGTGAGCAAAAATCAAGAAAAACGAATCAACCAATTGCAATTGTTTTGTTTGTCAAAACCAAAAATAGACTTGCTAAAATTCATAAGATCAAGAGAAAACAAAGGACATTTTTACGTGAGTCACGAAAAAAAACTTCTATATTGCTCAGTACCAAAAATTGCCAGCACCAACTGGAAAAGAGTAGTTTTGCTGCTCGAAGGAAAAATTAAAAGTTTAACGGAGAACGCGAAAGACACTGTTCACACAATTCCTCAAACCAGACTGTTTTCATTGATTAGTAAAGGAGAGGTTAATCACGTATTAAAAAACTACCTTAAATTTTTCATCACAAGACACCCGTTTGAAAGATTAGTATCAGCTTATCGTAATAAGTTTGCTGATAATAACACATATTTCGAACGTTTGTTTGGCGTGCCTATTCTTCGAATGCACAGAACAAATTTAACAAACACAGAATATGAAAGTGGGAAAGGTGTCACATTTAATGAATTTGTTCATTGGCTCATTGAAAGAAACGTGTTTGATGCTCACTGGGCGCCTGTATATTCACTATGTTCTCCTTGCATAATACCTTTCGATTTTATAGGAAAAATGGAAACCCTATTAGAGGATTCTGAAGAGATTTTATCAATGATAGGAGCAAAAAATATACATTTTCCAGCTAATCTTACTGACGGCTACAAAATCTCATCAAAAAAACTTATGTATGACTTGTTTTCAACAATTTCAGGAGACACAATACAAAAACTATATAAAATGTATGAAGCTGATTTTGTGGCTTTTGATTATAAAATTCCAGAAAAGTTATTCTACAACTAAAAAACGTTTTAAGAAAAAGAAACTTTAAACAAGTTTTAAATTCATTCAAAAAATTGCGTAAAAACGTTTTTTTTTTTTTCAGAAAACCTTTTTACAAATTTTTCCTCAGAAAACCTTTTTATTGATTTTTCCTCAGAAAACCATTTTACAAATTTAAACCTAGTTTAAGATTTTGCATTTTTAAATTTCAGATTTTAAGTCTATAAATAATATTATCAAGGTTGAAATTTAAATTTTAAAACAGAACTCAAACATATTTAACATATGTAAAATAATATGATTGTGAATTTTGAAAATTGTATAAAATGTTTTCCTATACTTTTAACAAATGACTAAAAATTTATATGAAAGTTAAATACTTCTTTCAAGCGAATCAGCCGTAGAAAAGCTAAGTTTTTATTTAATAAAAAAACTTTAGTTTTATTTATAATCCAATTAATGTTTAATATTATAATTTTTTTTAAATTAACAAAGATTTAATTTACACTTTTTTTTTTTTTGCCGATAAAAAAAAATTTACAGTCGTAACTTATAAAAAAAAATAATTACATGACCGGGGCTAAAAGAAAACAAATTTAGTCTTATCATTAAGCCCCAAAAAATGCGTCATTACTAGACAAAATATAGTTAATATTAATGACAATAAAATATAGTTTCAATGTATATATCTCTGATTTATATTATAAAAAAAAATTAAATATATCGCATAAAAAAGTAAAAATTAATAGTACTGAAAAAGGAATGGTACTTAAACCCGATGTTTGGGATAACAACATTATTGTTAAACCGTTTAGAATGCGGCGAGAAGCACTAACAATCGAAAAACCACATCAAAATACCGAAAATCATTTGCCACAATTCTTACACCACTCTTCAGCATTTATGCAACAATAAAAATTGAAATCATAATGGGAGAAAAAGAATTAAATGTAACTAACACAAATATTACGCTATGTGCATATAACTGTCAAAGCTTTAAATCGAACTCATATTATATTTCTAAGTTGTTAAAATCTTTCGATATTATTTTTATATCAGAACATTGGCTTTTAAATATTGAGAGTTTTTTGTTAAATAACATTGCATTACTAACACACAAAGTTTTTTTTCATGCGGCAGAAAAAAATACACACGGTAGACCATATGGAGGAAATGCTTTTATGGTACGAAAAAAATTGTCATCTTTTTACATAATACATGAAGATGAAAACATTCTTGCTATTAAAGGCACACTTAACAATCGTAACTTAATTTTTATTGGTGTTTACCTTTCATCTTGTCGTAATAATAACGAATCATACGCAAAATACTCTTCTCAGTTACAAACAATCACTTCAATAATGAACAACTATGAGGATGAAGGAGAATGTATTATTTCCGGAGACTTTCAGTCATTTCCATATATCGTTTAAAATTTATAGTTTTTCAAAGAATAAGATTTAACAATTGTTTTGTAAAATAAAAGAAGCAAAATTTAATAAAATATTAAAATTACAAAAATAACATTTAAGACTTGGTTTGAAAAATAAGAAGATATGATTTTATATAAAAACATTTTATTGGTAGAGCATTTTATAGTTTAACTTATTTAATTATATTAATAATACTTTTCATTGCCAATTAAGTAAAAGCAAATAAACAGTATAAAATAAAAAGTAAAAAATAAAAAGTAAAAGATTAATAAATAACGCAAAAATAAAAAATAAATTTCTCAAAAAGAAGATTATCATTTAAAATGATAAAAATATATGTACAATTGTTGATTAATTATGTATTAATAATTTAAAGTAATTAATTAATTAACTATTAATTATTTATTTCTAATAGCAGTTTTATTAGAAAAAATTTAATTCATTTTCAGTTAACAAAAGTAATTGCTTAAGTTTTGTTTTGAATTGGTTTAGAGAATAATTAGTTTTCATTTCGTTATTTAATATTATGTTCCACAACTTTGGTCCTCGGTTTACAATAGAGAATTTAGTAGCGGAATAATAAGTTTTGGATTGAATGTAGTTGTATTTTGAAAATCTTGTAGGGTATATGTGATTTATTTTTTCAAAAATTGTATAAAATAAGATTGGTAATATATTTTTATCAAGTTTGAACATGAAAATAAGAACTTGATAGAGGTTTAGTTTATATACATTTAGGATATTGAGTTCATTAAAAAGTGTTTGTGTGTGTGAAAAACGATCTACGTTCGAAATTATCCTTATAGCCTGTTTTTGTTTGCTAAGCAATTTTTTTATTTTCGTCGCGTTAGTGCTACACCAAGCAATGTTCGCATAACTTAAGTAGCAATGAATAAAAGAAAAGTAAATGTTTTTTAAACAAGATCGATGTAATAACTGCTTTGCTTTGTACATTATACCTAAATTTTTTGATATTTTATCTTCAACTACACCTATATGTTCCCTCCAGGTTACATTTTCGTCTAGAAACACGCCTAAAAACTTTATTGATTGCTCTCTCTTTATTGATTGATTGTCAATAAAAAGGTCTGAGAGTTCTAAGGGAATATCTGATTTTTTATGTAAGCGATGGAATAAAGTGTATTATGTTTTAGTGATATTTAAAGATAACTTGTTTGATTTAAACCATTGGGTTAGTTTGTCTAGTTCTTTGTTTAATGTTTGGAATAATATATTGATATCTTTATTGGAATAAAACAAGCTGGTATCATCTGCAAATAAAATTGTATTTAAAATGATAGAAAATTTATTTAAATCGTTTATATAAACAAGAAATAGAAGTGGCCCTAAAATTGATCCTTGAGGAACACCACATTTAATTGTCTCATAATTAGTTTTTTCTCTCGAACCAGGACAAGTTAGTATTTTTTATACCATAACTTTTGAGTTTCGATAGAAGGATTTGATGATTGACTGTATTAAGCTTTACTTAAATCGATAAAAAGACCTAGGGTATACTTGCCTTCATCAAACGATTTAAATATGTCCTGAACAAGGTGAATGATTGCATGATCGGTGGAATGACCAGATTTGAATCCAAAATGTTTATGGTAAAGAATATTATTTACATTTAAAAAAGAATAAAGCCTATTATACATAACTCGCTCTAATATTTTAGAAAAACAATTAAGAATTGAGATTGGACGATAATTTGCAACTTCAGAAGGATCGCCTGATTTTAAAATTGGAATGGTTTTTGCAATTTTTAGGTTTTCTGGAAAAACACCATGTTTTAAAGATAAATTAAAAATATGTAATAATGGAATTGTGATGTATTTTATCGATTTAATAACGACATTACTACTTATAGAATCGAAACCTACACTTTTTTTGGGCTTTAACAAAGAGACTGCGTCTAATAATTCATTTTCCGTAAGTTTAGGATTAGACATAACACTAATGTTGTTTGAGGTTACGTAAGACTAAAAGTGTATTTGAGAAATTGCTATATTTGATGATAAAATAGGACCTATATTTACAAAAAACTGATTAAGTGTTTCGGCCACTAAGGATTTATTTACAATACAATTGTTATTAACTTTAAGATTTTTCGGAAGTAAATTACCGTGTAAACGTTTTTTACCGATTACCTCCTTTATAATTTGCCATGTTTTTTTCGAATCATTTTTGTGTTTAAATAATTGTTCCGAATAGTAATGTTTCTTTGAGCGTTTTAAAACTGATTCATATAGCCGTTTATAGGTTTTGTAATTAGTTTCATTTTTAAGAGTTTTTTTTTTAAGAAACTTGTTATATAAACGTTGTTTTTTTTTTGAGGATTTAAGAATGCCCCTCGTGATCCAAGGGTTTAAAAGTGTTTTTGTTTTGATAACTTTAGTAACTTCCGGGAAGGTTTTATAATAATGATTAAGAAATTCAGTTAAAAAGATATCATATGCTTTATCGGCATTTAGATTTAGTTGTAAGGTGTCCCAGTTGACACCAGTAAGAAGTTTATGAAAATTTTTGATGGAAGCGTCGTTTATTAACCGTGTTGTAATTAATTTTTTTCTATCACTAAGAGCATCATAGTCGATGCATTTTTGCGATGGAATAAAAATAGGGAAGTGATCAGAAATGTCAGATTTAAATATACCTGTCCTTATTTTAATATTTACGAAATCATTTGTAATAATTTGATCTAAAGATGTTGCACTTTCTCTAGTTACTCGCGTTGGTTTATTTATTAGGGGAATATAACTATTTTGAAAAATTGTGTTGAAGAAGTTCTTAATGTTTTTGTTTTTGTCGTATTCTAATATATTAAGATTAAAATCACCAACAATATAAACCGATTTATTTAAAGATGATTTTTTTTTAATTATACTTTTAATGTGATTTTCAAATGCCTTAATACTTCCTGAGGGCGGTCTATATAAAGCATGGATGACGATATTTCTTGAAGTTTTATTAATAATTTCAACACATAAAGATTCATAATCATTAGTGGTTGAACTTAACTGTGGTTTCCTTTTGAATAAAATTGAATTTTTTATGTATATACACAAACCTCCACCTTCCTTATTTAATGCTCTAACTTGATGAGTTACTTTATAATTAGGTAATTGAAAATTGGAATTGTTTTCAATGCTTACATCGTGACACCATGTCTCGCTGAGACAAATTACCTGAAATCTAATGTCAATTTTATGAAAAATTGTTTCAATGACTCAAAATTTTTTTGAATGAATTCTAATATTAATGTGAAGCATTGAAATGAGTCGACTTTTTGAAAATGAGTCGACTTTAATGAGTCTTTAATGAGTCAACTTTTTGAAAATGAGTCGACTTTAATGAGTCGACTTTTTGAAAAAACGGTATGAAAAAGATAAATACTTTCTTTTTAACCATTTATGTGTGTTTAAAGAGTCATAGAAGAACATGTAAATCGAAGGTTAGTTTTTAAATAAAATAAAAATTAATTTACTAAAACAATTTTTAAATATTCCCATTAAAGTTGTTTATTATCATATCATATTTATTATCATGTATAGATTACAACAAGATTTATAGTATTTGGAGACAGAAAATGATTTAGATTGAAGTAAATAATTTAAAAGAAAAATAAATTAACGGAAGACATAAAAAGTTA